CATTCGGAAAACATTCAAGCTTCTGGACTGAAATTTTACAGGCCTGGTCTACATCCAAAAAGAAACATTTTTTAAAAAATTTGAAATGAAAATCGATTCTGTACATTTTGTCCTTTTGTAACAAAAAAGCTTGAAGAGCAAAATGACTGGAGTGAACATTTGATAAGAAAAAAGGAAGTTCCTTGTAACAATACTTTGGATTTGGCAGGCATGAGGGTTTAAGAATCATAGAATATCAGGGTTGGAAGGGACCTCAGGAGGTCATCTAGTCCAACCCCCTGCTCAAAGCAGGACCAATTCCCAATTTTTGCCCCAAATCCCTAAATGGCCCCCTCAAGGATTGAACTCACAACCCTGGGTTTAGCAGGCCAGTGCTCAAACCACTGAGCTATCCCTCCCCCCCAAAGTCAAGAATCTCACCTTATCTTTAAACACTGATTGGTCTGATGTTTTGTCCCTTTTAACAGATTTCTTAAGGAAGAGTATGCTGCTGTGGCTAACTTTGCCATGCAGTATGCCAGGCAACTGCCTTAGGACCTGCACAGTTAGAAGTGCAAGCAGTATGAAGCTGAGTGCTGGGAATTTACAATATCATGCAGACAGCCCTTTAACATGCCTCAATCTTAAAAGCTTCATCTATTCCGAGTATAAAGTTGTCCATTCAGTAATGTGCATAATTCAGTGAAATTCAGGGCTGTTCTTACAGAATATGATTTTTTTTCTTTTAAAAGCTTAAATTCCATAACTCTCTAAAGTTCTTAAATCTACACAGGCAAAAATAAGATTCCACAGCTGTTTGCATTACAGTGTATATAATCACGATGAAGTGAGCTGTAGCTCACGAAAGCTTATGCTCAAATAAATTGGTTAGTCTCTAAGGTGCCACAAGTACTCCTTTTCTTTTCACACAGTTAAAAACACTCTCAAAGAACGCAATTATTACTACAATCACATAAGAGGAACGGAGAGTGATGTAGGGCCCTGGCCTTATTAACTGTACATCTTGTGTATAAACTATTTTCACAAACTGCATATGTGACTTTCCGATTGTACACAGTGATATAAGTGTCACACAGGTGTCTAAGGCCATCAGAAAAAGTGGCATAATATATAGTGTTATCTAATTGTAAATATATAGTGTTATCTAAATTGTAAACCCTATTCACAATTCCTGGCCTCAGTTTCCTCAAAACACCAGGCCATTCTATGGGCCTGGATCAGGGTCACTTGGGGTCATCCAACATCCTTCTGTTGCAATGCATCACTTTTATGCACAAAAGCAGAGCCTTCTCCCCCAAGCTCAGCTAACCTGACCTTGGCCAGTTCATCCCTTTCCTTCCTCTTGCCCAAATGTCCTGTGCGTCTTCCCCTAGTGATTTCTTTTAGAACCTTTTGTTTTTGTCATCTGTCTCTGTCAACCTTCAGTAACTTTCCACTCCTAACCCCCATTCTCCTTAACACCAACTTGGCCAAACTGGGTTCCCAACTCAGGCACCGTACTTAGCATAAAGATGCTATCATCAGAACATAGTTTTAAAGTTAAGTGTCCCCCATTGTCCTCAGCCTAGTGAGAACCTGCTGTAGGTCCTGTCCAACAGGATGGATACACGTAGAAAGAGGTTTCCTATTATTAGGAAATTTCATGACAACAACTAGAATTCACAAGTCTTACAGACAGACCCACCCCACCCCCGCCCGACATACACACAAACAAATCAAGCCATATGAATCAGGCTCGTGTACACTCAAGTCAGCAATTCTGGTATCGGGTTCTTAAGTAAACCTCCCAGTTTCTCAGTGCCCTCTGTCCATCCTCTGGTATTCCCTCCACACATGGTTTTTCCTCTCTCCTATCTCAGATGGCCAGGAAATTGCGTGAGATTAATAGAGACTTGTCTGGCCCCAATCTCTCATAGGAATTTTTTCCATGCTTATCAAATATTAAGGTCCCTATAACATTAGGTTGGAAGGACGGAATGAGGCAGCCAGAGCATAGTAGAGTTTTCTGATTTTGAGTGCGACACCAGAGAGGGAAAGTTTTCCAGCTGCTGGCAAGGTGAAGGAACAGCAGCTTTACACATCACGTCACTGCGGTTATCTGCAGAGTCAAGCAAAAAGAAGCTCTGCAGTAGTTCCCCCCCACCCCTGCCCATCGGCCAAAATTCACTGTTATTACTTAAAAGCATGGATAGTCTTACTGATGTAACAGACATTCAGACCTGCCTAGCAGTGCTAACTACAGGAACTTGGGAGTAGACAGACAGGTCCCTACTCTAACCTGTAACTGGATGACTGTTAATCATCATACTTATCTTACCCTTTCAATTTTCTTTCTCTAAGAGGGCAGGGGGGACCTAAGAAAAGGAATGTAGGGATTCTTCAATATTAAACAAGGTAATGACTGTGGTTTTGTTCTTCTAAGTACTTGTTCGCTTCCACTAAATAAAAAGAAGGAAACTGAAAGTGAAAACCTCAAGCAGGAAAAGCCTTGAAAAGTAGAAAGTGATGCAAGAAAAATCTTTTCCTACGGAATACTTCCATTCAGAGACAGGGGTCAAAACCACAAAAATCTACGGAAGACCTTGAACAGGCACCAGTTGCTCAAGTTCTACACAAACACAGGGAATCTAAGACATCATCATGATCAGCAGGTGGCTGCTGCAATGTTGCCTCATGCTGCTCTTCTCCAGTGAAATCTCATGTCTGGGCTGTAACGGGATTTATGTTCTACAAGCCAGAATGACCAGCAAGAGTCTAGAGCGTCTGGAAAAAATGGGTGGAAACTTTCCTTTCCAATGTCTAAAGGAAAGGACAGCTTTCAAGCCCAGAGCTATCCTCAAGATCCGACTGTCCCAACAAGAGAATGCTAAGGGAGCCATCCAACAGATCCTCCAAGAGCTCTTCCAGATCTTTAACAACAATCTCATCCAAGCTGTCTGGAATGGGACTTCCATATAGGAATTCCAAAATGGTCTTCTCCAGCAGATTGAGAAGCTGGGGACGTGTTTGAGTGCTGAGAAGGGAAAGGAGATAACCTACCCAGGATATGAGAACCTCCTGCTCACTAGCCTGAAACTGAAGAGATACTTCCAGACAATAGACGATTTCCTGAAAGAAAAGCAATACAGCCCATGCAAAAGCATCTGACTCCATGGCACCTCATCTCATCTGACACACACACTTCCACATGGCATAGGTAACAGCCACATGCAGAGGGCTGTATTCCAACTTCATGCAGCCTGCAGCTGGTGCATGTGATGTTAGTGTCAAGTGTGTTCCCTGCACAAACACCATTTTAAAAACTCCAGTAAGAGCAATAAAGACTCTACATTGAAACATGCTGAAGTCAGGAAATGCTAACGTTAAAATTGAATGTGCAGCCTTAACACTGCTTATGTGCATGTACACATCACTATACCACCCTCAAATACTTGGTCAAACTTTTGATAACGCTATATATTATGTCATTTTTTCTGATGGCCTTAGACACCTGTATGACACTTATATCACTGTGTACAATCCATAAGTCACACATGCAGTTTGTGAAAATAGTTTATACACAAGATGTACAGTTAATAAGGCCAGGGCCCTACATCACTCTCCGTTCCTCTTACGAGACTGTAGAAATAATTGCATTCTTTGAGAGTGTTTTTAACTATGTGATTATATACACTGTAATGCAAACAGCTGTGGAATCTTATTTTTGCCTGTGTAGATTTAAGAACTTGAGAGAATTATAGCATTTAAGCTTTTAAAAGAAAAAAAATCATATTCTGTAAGAACAGCCCTGAATTATGCACATTACTGAATGGACAACTTTATACCTGGAACAGATGAAGCTTTTAACACTGAGGAATGTAAAAGGGCTGTCTGCATGATATTGTAAATTCCCAGCACTCTGCTTTATACTGCTTGCACTTTTAACTGTGCAGCTCCCAAGGCATTGCCTGGCATACTGCATGGCAAAGTAGCCACAGCAGCATATTCTTCCTTAGGAAATCTGTTAAAAAGGGCCAAAAAATCAGACCAATCAGTGTTTAAAGATAAGGTGAGATTCTTAAACCCTCAAGAAACCTTAAACCCTCAGCTGTCAAGGCTGTTACTGTTGAACATAGACACTTCCAAAAGCTTCCAGAAAGCTCAAAGCCAGATTGGTCAACAGGGCATTGAGCACGGACAATACAGCTACAGTCTGTTGTGTTTACAAGTCATAGCATTCTGTTGGGCTAGTGAGTGGGACTGATTTAGCATTGTTTCACAACACCTTCCCAATCATGACGACTTTATTCAGATTACATTCCCATAAGAACAGCTGCACTGACCATTTACAAGATCTGCTGTTGAGTTTACAAACTTTAGAGGACAAAGTCTGACCTGAACTAGCAGATATTTACCTGCATTTTTCCAGCTAGAATCAATAGGAGTTTTACATATTATCGCTCATGCACTCATCTGAGAATGTAAACCGTATTTACATCATTTAAGTAAAATTTTGATAGTTAAAATTGTTATTTAATCACAAATGAAAACACTTTACAAAGTAACCTGAATTCCTGATAGAGCTGATGATTCCAATCCACTGGTAATATTTTGAATTAAAAGATATTTTTATAACTCTTCATATAACTGCATCTAGTTTACGGCTTAGATCTTGCCAAGAAAGTTACACAATAAGTTAACCACTATTCAGACAAATTAACCTCTCCCTTTTGAGGTCATAATGGTGGTAATAAAAGCTCGTTGAAGTTATTCAAAGTTCAATATTTTGACAAGTTTCCATCTAAATTTAAAAGGGAAAAAATGAAAATATCTACAAAGATGACATCCCATTTCTGACCAGCTCTGGTAATTTAAGTTTTATTATTTATTTCTATTACCATAGCCTCTTGGAGCCAAAGTCATGGACCAGGACCCATTGGCTAGGCACTCATTTCAGTCATTAAAAAAAATAAAAGCAAGTCAGAAAAAGTGGCTGCCTGCAACTTCCAGTAAATGATGGACATTTCATCATATTAGGCACTGGTTAAGTAATTGATCGTTGGATAAATAGAGAGACAATACAGACTGTGACCAATTGAAATCGGGAAGGCTCAAGAAGAAATAAGGGAATTTACTGCAGTAAATTCCCAACAGAAGCAATGTTTGTTTGCATTCAACAAGCAAAGAATTGCCCAATTTGAATTTAGTCAGGTTTCTGTTAACTATTTCCAATTTGCTCTTTGAGATAAGGCTTCCTATAAATATAGTACCATTTTTCTTGTGAGAATCCATCAGAAAGGACTCCATTTTTCCGGGGCTTTGCAATACAGCAGTGGTAAGTTTCATTCCATATGGAAACTTCATATTTGTACCACTTTACCTTGTTGTGTATTCAATTTTTGTCTTAGAACTGGTGATTTTTATGATGTAAAAACTTAAGCGGAAACAAAAACTTCTATATTTACAACTTATGTCCCAGCCTGGTGCTGTGATGGCAGAGGGCATTTCATTTTTCTGAGTTGAAATCATCACTTTTGGAACTCTTCTGAATTGTGTGTGACCCTGAAGATCCATGTACCTGTTCCAAAGCCGATATAAGAGGAATTTACATTACGTCTGGAGTCTTTAAAAGATTGACCAGTTTTCTGACATATATTCTCCTTCTATTACAGCCTAAAGACGTGAACTATGAAGTTCTACAACTGCATGTTGTTGTTGTCCCTGGTACTATGTGTCAGTGCCCAGAACTGGTTCACTGATGCTGGATCATTCATAAGGGATGCTTATCTAGGTATGCTTTTTACTAACTGTTTGTTCTTCATCAAAACTGTCCTCAGCACGGTGTACATATTAAAAAAAATAATAAATGAATAAAAACCCCACAAAGCCAAGCTGAAGACAGGAGTTCTAGACCAATTTTTGATAAATAAGAAATTTACTCAGTTCTTCACAAAAAGATACATTAGAATTTTTTCATGATCCCTTAAAGTGATGCAGTTTTAGGTCCCTCATTGGGAGTCCAAGCACAAGGCTGCTGAACCAGAGCAAATCAGATGGCAGGTATGGGCCATAGATAGTACAAATTATGGGTCATAACTAAACAGATATTTTCACCAGACAAGATTCACTTAACATTTAGCAAGATGTTTAACTGCAACCTGTGCACCCAGCTGACCATGTTGTGACTTTAACTTTTGCACTTTCCTGATGTGGATCTCAGTGGGTCTAGTAAAATCTGGAGGCATATTAATACATTGAGAACTAATGGGTACCTTTTATTTTTTTGTTCTTGGTTTTGTGAGAGGTGTATGCCAATTCTCAGTAAAGGAAATCTAATATACTGTAAATGTTGGTTGAATATTTTCAGAAGCTTTCCTTCCCCTTCCCGGAAACGTTTCTGGGGTCAGATAACTTGGGTCCTGATTCAGCACTACAGGAATGAGCATCTTCTGCAAGGTGCTGAACTTCCCTTATTCCCAGGCTGGCTAACTCAGGGCATGCAACACCTTGCAGTACTGCATTCTTAAGCACAAGCTTAAATTCATCCTTGTTTAAGAAAGCTTAAGCATGTGCTTAAGTACCCTTCCTGAATAGAGATGCTTTACTCAATGAGGGAGGTATGTGAGATATAATAGGTTTTGTCTGGATGGAGATGTGATCAAATTAAAGTGGACCACCAGGTCTTCTACTGTTATGAATTATTTAGTCTCAAGAAACAACTCAGCATAGTCTTTGATTCTAGTTATTGTCTCCTATTTGCCCAAATATCCTCATGCTTCTATTTTACGTTGATACTCCGTGATCTCGCCTTTTTGCTGTAAGAAGTGTTGGGGTTTTTTTAAAACTATAGTGGTAGATAGAGGTTCACATCTATGAAATCAGATTTTTTGTTCTCACGTTTTACACTCACAGCTTAAATATTCTCACCAATTTGTCCCCAACTGTCTCTAGTGTAAATCGTTTGAGAAATTGTTAGTTAAATTGCTGATAAATGCTGGAATAGACACTCCTAAGAATGCCTTAGATGGATTTAGATTAAATGGACTTGTGTGGCAGTGATTCAACTGAACTGGCTTCTAAACAGATTTAGTTACATCGATGCACAAACCATATGTAGACAAAGCGCTAAAGGAGATTTGGGGACTGATGTTTCTAAATCATAGCTCTACTCCATTGTCCTGGTGAGCACTGAGAGAAATTTGAGGGTTTCTTTGTCCCTAAAGAATTCCCCAAAGATATTACAACAGAGTTTTGTGGAGATTCCATGTTTTTATGAGATCCTTCTCAAGGGAACTCCCTTTCATTTCCTCTTCCAAAGATGTCACCTGGTGGAAGCTTCAGTTAATAAAAAAGCATAAAAAGCTGCAAATCCATGTATCTCTAATGGGAGTCCTGGGTACCAAAGAAAGTTGGGCAGGATTTTTTTTGGCAAATATTAAATTCACCAAAAAATGCATTTCAGCGGGATACTGCAACTTTTGGCAAATTTTGGAGAAAAATAATTTCAAAACTGATAATTTTCACAGTGAGCTGTTCTGACATTTTGCTGCAGAAATGTCTATTCAAATCAACCTGAACAATTTTTTTTTCATTCTGATGAGAAAAACCCTAACAAATCAGTTTTGGTTTGTAACTCAACAGTCTTTCTTTTTTGGATTTCTCAGATCTTCCACCGAACCAAAAAAATCAGAATTTACTCAGCGATATATAGGAGCCTTTCTGCCTTCTCAGAGGAATGTGGGTGGAATAACCTCAAAGTGTTTTTAAATTTGCAGAGTCTCTATAATCCTCTCTCTCTTCTCCAGGCGCTGAGGATATGTGGCGTGCATACCGCGACATGAGGGAGGCGAATTATAAAAATTCAGATAAATATTTCCATGCTCGTGGGAATTATGATGCTGCCCAAAGAGGGCCTGGCGGTAAATGGGCAGCAGAAGTTATTAGGTAATGTATTCCACTTGGATTACGAGTTAAATGTCAGTAAAGAGCTATGCAATCAAATAACTATGAAGTACATTGTAATTCATAACTCCTTATTGTCCTGTTCGAAGCAAGAACATTTTTATTTAACCTCTGAACTGGCTAAGTGTGAAGACCGTGCCCATTCTTGAGTTGTAAAGGTGATTTCTGAGCTGACCTATTTAGATATATTCTGATATCAGATATCATTACTATGTGCCAGGAGGCTGATGTGTTCACCACAGGGCTTTTAAAAATTAAATAATTGCAGGACCTCACTTTAATCTAGAACTGGAACATATTGCCCTTGGTATTTCATCCAAGAAAACTATGGTCAATGGTTCACTTGCGGACGTCGAACGACGATTGTTTTAAAATATTGCTGTCCAATGTGATGACTATGATACAAAGGAGGCTTATGAGGAGTGGGCAGAACTTAGTGGAGGCAAGTAATGGGAAAGCTTTTTAATTCACAACTGCTGGACTGATGCACTTCTGGGATGACCGATGCTATTCACAGACAGGCTAGGATTTTTGTGTCTGTGTCTGTGTGTGTGTGTGAGAGACAAGATAGGTGAGCTAATGTATTTTATTAGAATAACTTCTGTTGGTGAGGTATTTGTGCATGACCTCAGTTTTATGGAAAAGTAGGGATTAAACTGGGGAAAAACTGAAAAGTAAATAATTTAGTTATTGAGATTTAATAATAAACTGTCTAAAATAATCTTTGTTTCCTCTTTCCAGTGATGCTAGGGAAGGTTGGCAGAGTGACGTTAGCGGCAGAGGAGCCGAAGACACACGTCAAGACCAGGAGGCAAATGCATGGGGCAGAAGTGGAGGAGACCCAAACCACTACAGACCAGAGGGCCTTCCCTCGAAATACTAATGCAGCCTGTAATACTTTACAATGGTTCCATTTTTCTACCAGCTGTGCAAAACCACAATAAATAAAACCTTAAATTTCTGAAGCTCTCAGTGAATGAACAAACATCCTCAGCTACATTAGAAAGGATAAAAAGCAATATACATACAAATCTTCATGATTTGGGGCCAAAGGTAACCCTTAACTGCCCGGGATTTGGAAGATTCTTCCAGATTATTTAACGATTGTTCTTTACTTGATTTGTTGCGTATTCCTGTGAAGCAGCGGGCACTGGCCACTGTCACAGACAGGCTACTGGACTATTGTGATCCATTATGAAAATTCTCCTTTTTAGTGTTGTCCCCATTTTACAGACAGGGATCTGAGAGATGTTAATTGACTTGCCTAACATCACAGGGGAGTCTATAGCAGAGCTAGGAATGGAGTCCAGTTCTCTAACCATAAGACTATCCTACCTGGCTAATTAGTTGGGGGCATAAAAACCACCCTGCAAAGGTTTAGGTATCATGGCAAAAACAGAAATTTGTGGGGCAGGTCAGGAGGAAAGTTAACATTTTAAATGAAAAGATGAAAACACATTTTCTATGGGGCTGGGAGTCTGGGTCCACTTTAATAAGCAGTGATGGTGTTTAAGTTTTAAAAGTATATATTTATTGTTGTCAGGTGGGTAGAACCACTGTTCCGTCTGAGGTCAGAGGAATCTTGGCTTTCAGAGTGGTAGCTGTGTTAGTCTGTGTCAGCAAAACCAACGAGGAGTACCTGTGGCACCTTCGAGACTAACACATTTATTTGGGCATAAGCTTTCGTGGGCTAAAACCCACTTCATCAGATGCATGGAGTGGAAAATACAGGAGGCAGGTATATACACAGTACATGCAAAGATGAGAGTTGCCTTACCAAGTGCGGGGGGGGGGTCAGTGCTAATGAGACAATTCAATTGAAGTGGAAGTGGGCTATTCTCAACAGTAGAATACCAAGGGAGGAAAAATCACTTTTGTAGTGGTAATGAGGCCAAAGTAATCAGGGTGGCCCATTTCAAACAGTTGACAGGAAGGTGTAAGTAACAGTAGGGTGAAATTAGTACAGGGAAATTAGTTTTTGTAGTGACCCATCCCTTCTTCATGTCAGCCTAACAGTCCTGAGGAAGAGCTCTGTGCAGATCGGAAGCTTGTCTCTCTCCCCAACAGAAGTTGGTCCAAAAATAGACATTATTACCTCACCCACCTTGTGTCTCTAATATTCAGGGAGCAACACAGCTGCAACAACACTAATTACCCCTAGTCCCACTCTTGAACAAAAGATCAAAGAATTTAGCAGCATGCAGTGGGGGGTTCTTAGCATGACTCTGCTCAAATAATTTTTTAGGCCTTTCCTCAATTTTTAGGGTAAAAGTGCGTAGTCAATAGGCCTCAAATCTTACAATTTCTTGCAGGCAGGGGGCACTGTCGGGCGACTGAGGCGCTGTCTGTCTGTGTGAGGCAGGGCTGCAGGGGGCGCTGTGGGGTGGCTGAGGTGCTGTCTGTCTGTCACTCTCTGGCCAGCCTCTGGGCAGGGTTGTTGGTGCTGGCCCCAGCAGTCGCGTGGCAGAGAGCGCTGAGCCCCCAGGGAGGGGAGGAGGGAGCAGGCCGCGACTTGCTCCGGGTGCCCCCCTGCATCGTGCCCCTGCCTTGTCGGGCATTGGGCAGAGTCCACCTGCCCCGGCCCAGCACTCCCAGACTTGCGGCTGCCTGGGCGGGCCCGAGGAGCCGGGCAGGGGAGGGGATAAAGCCCCTGCAGGCGCTGGGAGAAGGTGACATCAACTCCCTCCGCTTCCAGCACCGCCTGCGAGCCCCAGCCCCACCTAAGCTTGGGACAGCAAATTTTTTGCTTGGGGCAGCAAAAAACCTAGATCTGGCCCTGGGAGCCAGTGCCCCGTGGGGTGTGTGCACTGCGGGGTCTGGGTACATGGCGGGGCAGGGGAGCCTGTTCCAATAATCCGCCGCCTCCGATACGATTGGCAGCTCTTTTTTCTCCATCCAAGGGGTCTTCTGCGAGATGTCTCTGAGCTGCCAGTCTTCTACCAGCACCTCCTCCAGACCTGGAAGCTGTTCTTGGCAACCAGGTCCGTTGTGGCCACTGAGGGGGCTAGTTGTAAGGGCTTATGGACATTTAGCACCAAAAACAGCTTTCCTCATAGTTTAATCCAGAACCTCAACAATGGCTAAGAGCCAAAGAGTTCCTTTGTGTGACTTTTTAGGATATTGTAGATTTTCACTGCAATTCTGCAATCTGATACAGAAACTTGTTCACTATATCCTAGAAACATCACTAGATGATGCTAGTGAATTAGCTGATTCTCCAAGGTACTGGGCAACAAAAATTCAGAGAGAAAGCTGGAGCCAAAACAAAATCTGATTGAAATGTCAACAGATTTGAACCACTCAAGACAAGACTATGATTTTCTTAAAAAAAATACTGCTGATTTGTTGGAAGACCAGAATTAAACTGCAAAGAGCGTCACTGATTTATAAACTCAACTATATTTATGCTGTACAATATACTATATGAAGTTATACACTGTGCCAAGTGATCTTCCTATATCAGTGCTTAAAAAACTCAACACATCATTCAACTCTGGATAAATGCTTCTCTATACTTAATCGGCAATCAATATTTAATATAGATCATGTATTAGACGGGTGCACTCACGAGTTAAGATTCACTAACCATGTTCTCCATCCAACAGGTTCATATCATCCAAATGAACAATATTAGTATAGGCTTCTATTCTTCTATCCAGTTCCAAGCACAGAGAGAGATATCCAGGCCAGAAGCTTAATCAGCAGAGACTGCGGGTATTGTTCTTCTTCTTTTCCCCACGCTGGCCAGCGATGAGGCTGAGTGAACGGCAGGTTTGAGCTGTGAACCTCTGAGGCGAGAAAAACTGCCAATAAGCACAGGACCCACCAAGGCAGAGGAGGAACTTTGTCACTATATATATATATATATATAAAAACACAGTCTCTTGTCTGGTGAAAAAAATTTCCCTGGAACCTACCCCCCCCAACACACATTTACATTAATTCTTATGGGGAAATTGGATTTGCTTAACATGGTTTCACTTAAAGTAACATTTTTCAGGAACATAACTACAACATTATGCAAGGAGTTACTGTACACTGATGTGTCCACAGGCATTATCATCCTTATTCCTTCAATCTGATCAATGAGAAATTCTACAAACTCCTACTCAGCATATCTCCAAATTCTTGAATTATCAACAGTGTACCAAAAAAAATTATATTTTAATTATTTTTCTTCTCTCAGCACACTTGACCCTTTCCCTAAGCCATGAGAATTTAGCCAATGACCTTATATCAGGCATATAAAAAGAAACACAAGGGAACGGATTACCATTCAGACTCGATCAGCGCGTACAAGAGAGGAATGTATTAGAAATTTTCTCCTCGTACTCCTATTTCACCTCATTAAGCCACAAGAAGTGAGGGAGACATCTCCCAAATTGTTTATTTTGAAGATTGAGAGAAGCACATAATGTCTCTTTTCTTTAATTGAGAATTTGCTAATACTTCAGTGTTTGTAATCTTTGGGTATCAATCTGTCCCACAAAATAAACAAGTCATGTTATATCCCTACCTTGGGACTTTGTCAATCAAACCGATAAACCTAGTCTATTGATCAGATTTAATTACATTTATTAGCAATAATAGTAATCATGGCTATAGAGAAATGTGTCATTTTAAAGGCAGCACCACATTATCTCTATACTCAAAAATGCTGAAGATTAAACAACCATTATAAACTTGAAAGCCACCAGAATTAGCATCAATAATGGCTGATGTATTGAGCTCTAATTACCAAAGGCTTTAGTTCAAATCATATGTAAAATACAAGGAATTGCAGCTATTTATCTCAGGTGATCCTCAACCAGTGACCACCAGATTGTAAGCCAAGCAACTCCCATACCCCGGCTCCCATACTTCAAAGATCAACCTGGGAACTAGCTTCTTCTTTGATTCCCATCGGCCAGCGACGACGGGGCCGAAAGAAGTCTTTCCATCACTTTCTGTCTTGTACCAGTTCCACGGTTTTGTTCATCTTTAAATCTTTTTGTTCTATATCATTCTTCACTCTGCCTATCCAACACGCAACCTCAGTCTTCCTCATTTCTAGTTCCTTGAACTCTGGTATATACCACCAAAATGATACCCTTTCCGGATACATTCCTGACATGTGTCCAAACTGTAATTATCTTTCTTCACTCTTCCATAAAAGCACCGTTTCTTGCTTTACCTGTTTTCTTATTTCATTGTTCATTTTCCACAGTCTTGAAACTCCCAACACTCCCCTCAGCCACTTCATTTCTGCAGTTAGTATCTTACATTCCTCAGCTTTCCTCACACTCCAACATTCCAACCTGTACAACGGTACAGGCATGATAACTGTCTCCTATACACTGATTTTAGCCTTCCACATCTTGCAGAGTTTTCTCAATGCAGTCTTCTTTTATATCATCTTTGCAATTCCCATGTTTTTCCAACTGTTCTAGTTCTTTGTCTCTAAGTTTGATCTCAACCTCTTCCCTCTTCTCTTCCAGTTGTCACAGTTTTTGCCTTCCTCGTGTTGATCTTCAGTCCAAATTTTATGAATTCCTAATCTACCTTGGCAGTTATTGTCTGTAAATCTTCCTTGGGACAATGCTATGAAATCAATATCCTCTGTGAATCTAAAGGTGATTCACTATCCTCCCACATGAAATAAAAGGAGTCATATTATCTCTCAGTGCTAAACAATACTGATTCCAGTATCAAGTTGAACAAATCTAGCTAAAGGGTGCATCCTTGTCTCACTCCTATGTTATCCTGAACCTTTCCATCAGCTTCTTGTCTACTCTCACTGCACTCATTGACTTGCAATAGATGTTTTCTACCAGCTTGATCAATTTCTTGGGGATGTCATATGTTCTCAAGACTTGTCATAATCTTTTCTGCCAAATGCTATCAAAAGACTGTTTGAAGGCTCTCAAGTTGTTACAACACAACCAAATTTGTTCTAGC